TTGTTATGCCACCCGATATTACCGCAAAGGTCTAGGAAATGCAAAAATATAAAAGATGATAGATACCCAACATGCCAAACCTTAAATTTGTGTGTGCCTATGAAATGGCGACAAACTTCAGTACCCTATATTTTCTATAAGTGGCGCTGCAAAAGCCCCTATAGGTCATCAGTTTAGTGTTACAGAGAAGGTCTTGTGCTAGAATTATTGCTGCAGCAATAAGTAACGTGTATCGCAATGATTGTTTTCGCGCATAGGCTCCCCAACATTTGAGGTTATGTTTGTACATGTGTATATGTGGGGGTGGGGGCCTCAAAAAAAAAATTTTTTTTGGGGGGGGGGGGGTGGTATGTGCTTGAGTGAAACTTTATTTTTTTTGCAATAAAAAAGAGACACAGAGCCTCCTATGTGATTGTTTTTAGGTGACAGGTGCTCTTTATTGAGAAGTGCAGGGTCTAAAGACCCTGCATGTCTCCTAGATGTGTCTCACTAGATGTATTGCAATGCAGATTGCATTGCAATGCATGTATCCCCAGCTACTTTTTAGCTGGGGAAAGTGACAGCCGTGACCCGGAAGTGACGTCATGCATGTCACCTTTCAAGTCAAGGGGGGGGAAGCAGACATTTGTCCACTCTCCTCTCTCCCCTCCCCCCTCAATCCCCCAGCACCCACCGGAGTCTGCAGATGGGCAAGTGGGGCCTGGATACATGATGGGAGCGTGCGACCGGGAGGAGGGGGCACTGGTACCAGGGGCTGTGAAAACAATCGGGCGGCAGCACAGCTGCCCTACTGCTTCCACCTGGCAGGCAGGAGTCTGACTGTCAGTTTTATACACAATCCCGGTGGCTGAAGCTACTGGATTGTGTATACAACCCCCTGATGTCAGGTCCGTACAACTTATGGATCTGGCAGCAAAAAGGGTTAATGACAGCTCAAATAGATAAAGCTAAAGTGCAGCACTCACAAAACAAAACTATTATCAGCCCAGTATGTGTATCTACAATAAAATGTCAATGCAAACAAAAGAACGCCACTGTGAATTATGGGTGAAATAAAACTTAATATAAATCACCACATAATATTAAAAACAGTATGATCCTCACAATTAAATGTGGGCACCAAATAAAGGGCCCACAGACATGGGAGCATGGCTACCAATGATTTTTATGTATTTTTTTAATTTGCTGCTATTTTAATGTTACTGGCCCTTTAAGGCCTGAAGATACCTGTCACGTGGTCACATTGAGCTTCAGCGGGAAACACCTGCTTCTGGAAGATTCTATGGCAGGTGACCTCAACTATAAAAGGGCGCTGTCACCGGACCCTGATGAAGTTGGCCAGGATTAGCTCGGTGAGCTCCCCTCCCTTGGCTTAAGGGGTGACTTTGTTGACTGTATGATTTGTGTTATCTCCCTCAAGTCCTGTGACTGAACTGTTTTATACATGTTTTAAACTTTATGATTAATTTATTTAATAAAGATTTATTTTTTATACAATAACCAATAAAGGTGCCAAGGCCATTTAATACTGTTATAATTTTATTGTCTTATTTATTGGTCTTACTTAATGTGTATGAATGTGTAGCCTATAATCCCATGAGAAGACATATGACACTTGGAAGTAATTAACTCGAATCCTGGATTTATGACGTCGCCACTTCACTCCACCATGATATCGGCAGCCACTCAGGAGAATGTGCATGCAAAAATGAGAATGCTCCACATTGTGCAAGATCAATGGTATCAAACATTTATTAAAAAAAACAATGCTACTCACATACATAATAACATAGACGGCGCTGTGCAAATCAAATTCCCCAGGGCAATGTGTAGTTCACTTCCAGATTCCGTAATACATGATGAAGTTACAACGGTGGGCTCTGCCCTGCATGTTTCATCAAAAATTATATCTTCCTGGGCTCATTTTTTATGAATTAGAGCTGCCCTGGTACTCGGTTGGAGCACACCATTACTGAAGGACCAGCGATTTGTTACATACAGTGGCTTATTCTAAGCACACCTCATGTTTTTGGTTTCAAATACAAGAAAAGGTCCTACACTTTGGAATGTTCTACCCTTTGCTTTTATACTATGTGGAGTGTTCTCATTTTTCCATGCACAATATCCTGAGTGGCTGCCGATATATATGGTGAGTGAAGTAGCAAAATCATATATCTAGGATTTGAGCTAATTATTTTCAAGTGTTATATGACTTCTCATTCTCAGGATCATACTGTTCAGGTAAATCTTTGATCTGGGCACTGGTGTGGGGCAGCACTGAGAGTGTTTTTTTTTCACCTGGAGGAGTTTTCTACACTGTTATGTGGAGATTTGTATGGAGATTATCTCACCTATAATTGATGGTGGTGTTTGTTTGCTTGGACATTTTATTATAGATACACATGCTGGGCTGATATTAGTTTTGTTTTTGTCTTGTTTTAGGAGTGCTATAATTAGTTTGAGTTGTTTGATCTTTCTATTTTTGTATCTAATGCTGTTGATTTATGTCTGTTACCTTTTTTAAAGCAATATATATATATATATATATTCAATGAAAGAAAAAATACCTCAATAAATCACAAAGGAAGCAAAATTACTGAGACTGGGGCTGGGGCAAAGGATAGTTACCCACCAGTCTACAGCATAGAACAGTGCAACACAGTATAGCATGGTATCTCTCCCTACAAAATATTGCCAGCTCTCTTCAACATCTCATACACAAACTGACAATGCAACTGTTGTGAGCCCACATTTTTAATAGTGAGGGGGCTAGGTTATCCATTCCTTCAGATTATGCACTGAATTGTGGGCTGTTCCTTATTCCTGGAAGTAAAAACTGCAAAGTTTTGGGGCCAAAAGTTTGCGATTTTTGAATTGAACAAAAGCTTGGGATTTGCTGCAAACCCATGGTAGCTGTAAACTTGAACCTTATCCCTATTATGAACTTGGGCACCTTATTCCAACACCTTTTCAGAAGGCTTTCCAATAAACAATATTTAAAAGTGTGTTTGTAAAAATGTGTGCTCAGCCAAAAGAACATTAGTAAAATCAGAACATGGCTAACAACCTGCTTGCCAATTCATCTCTAAGGTTGAAGTCAAGGCTCTGAGCAGGCTAATTTAGTTCATCCACACCAATATCATTTATCATGTCTTTATGTGTCTTGCTTTATGCAATAGGGCACAGTTCTGCTGGAATAGAAAAAGGCTTTCCCAAAATGTTTGCTACAAGACTAAAAGAGCACTTTTGTTTTAAATGTTTTGTATTGCTTTGTATGCTGTGGCGATAACCTTACCATTCACTGGAAACACCCAAGCTAAGAAAAGAGGATGGACATTCACATACCTATGGCCATGAAGGTGAGTGTGATGGTTAGATGTCCACAAACGTTTGGCCATATGGTATGTCAGTACTTTTCATGTGCAGCTTACAGTTTAAACACCCCTAGCACAATAAACCAATATTTCAGACCACTTTAGTTACCATCATCTATTTTACACTGCTTATGGAGGAGACAGTCTATTGCTAGATGCTAGTTACATTTAATTACCAATAGGATTGACAACTTACATTGTCAGCATTTCTAGAAATTCATAGAACTGAACTCTTCCATTCTCCACATATGTTTGTCTTTTTTGCTTCAGATACAGCGACAACTTCTGTAGCGACACAACAAATCCACACATCTGCATTAAAATAGACACATTAGGAGTTAATTATTTGGAGATCTAAACCCAAATACATTGCCAGTTTAGAAAATAGGAGGTGATATACATTGTGATTGTGAAAAGCTCTTTAATTTTGTATTGAAATAGAATATTACATAATTTTATGAACAAGTCCAAAATAATCCTTTAGCTTTTGATTAATCTTTCACTTTGTCTTTTTAGTTTTCCTATTAAAAAAAAATCAATGTCTTCATCGAGCTTGACCATTTGTTAAAACCACATGGTCCTACAAGGTTTTTCTGTATGGCCAACAAAAAGGTTCATCAACCCTAGGTTCCCACATATGCAGATTTCAGTGCATTTTCCAGTTTGCAGAAATGCACTTCGGTACATTTTACATGATTTCCTATGGATATAGTTCACATCTGTGTGTTCTAAGCCAATCCGTTTTTTGGAAGGGGTCATGGAATTTTTTTCCCACAGCAGACTGTGTTTTGCGTGTAATAGACTTCAATAGACCCACAACAAAAACACAAGTATTGTGTTTTTGCCTCGTTTTGTGTTTTTTCTTCTGCTAACAGGTATGATAGTTCTGTTTATGTAGTGTGACTTTGATGTGGCTTTACACTCTCTGGCACTCAAGTAGCATCAAAGTAGTGCTGGAATCTTTATTTAACAACAGTCATATGTTAGGGTTAAAGGCTAGAGTTAAAGTTAAGCGCTAGGGTTATTGTTGAACATTAGTGTTAGGGTTAGAGATAGGGTTGAAATGCTAACCCTAACAAATACTGCTAATCCTAATAACTATCCCTAACCCTAACTCTAGCCCAGACCTTACTTCTAACTCTAACACTATCCCTAGCTCGTAACCCTAGCCCTTAACCCTAGCTCCTAACCCTAGTCCTTAACCCTAACCCTAGCTCTTAACCCTAGTCCTTAATCCTAACCCTAGCTCTTAACCCTAACATTTAACCCTAGCCATTAACCATAACTCTGGCTCTTAACCCTAACACTAGCCCTGAACCCTAATCCTAACATGCGACTTTGGTCACATAAAGATTTCTGCACTACTTTGATGCAATTGTGATGCTACTTTGATGCTACGTGAGTGCCAGAGAGTGCAAGGTCACATCAAAGTTGCACTACATGAACAGAACTGTCATACTTACCTATTATCAATAAAAACTCCCGCAAAACGTGGCAAAACCGCACACCACACCCCCTCTCTCTCCGCCCGCATCGCCCACCTCCTGAACGACATATCAGACTGGATGTCGCTCCATTTCCTCAAGTTAAACCTGTCCAAAACCGAGCTCCTGGTTTTCCCCCCAGCCCGTGCCCCCCCCCCCCCCATCCTCTCCATCACGACTAGCAACACCACCATCAATCCCACCCCCACACGCCAAAGTCCTGGGTGTCACCCTGGACTCAAACCTTTCCTTCCAACCTCATGTCCAATCACTTTCAAAATCATGCAGGCTCCACCTTCGCAACATCTCCAAGATACGTACATTCCTCACCCCAGACACTACTAAACAACTCGTACACACCCTCATCATCTCACGCCTGGACTACTGCAACTCCCTTCTCACTGGCCTACCCAAACAAACGCTATCCCCACTCCAGTCTATCCTGAACTCAGCGGCTAGACTCATCCACCTCACCAACCGCTCCACATCTGCCACCCCCCTCTGCCAATCCCTTCACTGGCTCCCGATTGCCCAGCGCATCAAATTCAAATTACTAACTCTGACTTACAAAGCCATTCACAGCGCTGCCCCAAACTACCATATTTGCCGGTGTATAAGACGACTGGGCGTATAAGACGACCCCCTACTTTTCCTGCTAAAATGTAGTGTTTGGGCTATACTCGCCGTATAAGACTACCCCTCTTCCAATGCACACCAATGGGAGGAATAGTGCCACATCATCGGTGTCAGTGGGAGGAATAGTGCCCCATCATTGGCATTAGTGGCAGGAATAGTGCCCCATCATTAGTATCAGTGGGGGGAATAGGTGCCCCATCATTGGTATCAGTGGTAGGAATAGTGCCCCATCATTAATATCAGTGGGGGGAATAGGTGCCCCATCATTGGTATCAGTGGCAGGAATAGTGCCCCATCATTAGTATCAGTGGGGGGAATAGTGCCCCATCATTGGTATCAGTGGCAGGAATAGTGCCCCATCATTGGTATCAGTGGCAGGAATAGTGCCCCATCATTAGTATCAGTGGGGGGAATAGTGCCCCATCATTGGTATCAGTGGCAGGAATAGTGCCCCATCATTGGTATCAGTGGCAGGAATAGTGCCCCATCATTAGTATCAGTGGGGGGAATAGTGCCCCATCATTGGTGTCAGTGGGAGGAATAGTGTCCCAACATTGGTGTCAGTGGGGGAATAGTGTCCCAACATTGGTGTCAGTGGGGGGGTGGAATAGTGTCCCAACATTGGTGTCAGTGGGGGGTGGAATAGTGCCCCATCATTGGTGTCAGTGAGGGGTGGAATAGTGCCCCATCGTTAGTGTCAGTGGGGGGGAGGAATAGTGCCCCATCGTTGGTGTCAGTGGGAGGAATAGTGCCCCATCATTGGTGTCACTGATACCAATGATACCAATGATGGGGACACTATTCCTCCCACTGACACCAATTAAACTTCCTGACCCTGTTCTAGTATGGTGCTGCTGCAGCCAGCATATGTGGTTGCAGCAGCACCTCTACACTGAACACTTACCTACTGCTCCTGCACTCGATTTTCGCGGGGCCGCTCGGCTCCGCCCCCTCGCCGGTGATTGGCCGCCTGTGTGCCTTTACTGAGCTACAGTTCTGGCGGCCAATCACCGGTGAGGAGGCGGAGAGCCGAGCAGCCAGCCGAACATCCAGTGGCCGAACTGAAGGAGCAGCCGCGCTTCCTGGACCGGATCGTCGTGGGACCGGAGCCAGGTAAGAAACAGCCCCTGCCCACCCCTGTACTTAGTGTCCCTTCCGTTGGAAGGGGGGGGGCGGGCGGCGGCGCCCCCCCTAAAAAGTGTCAGTATGCCGTGTACCGGCGTATAAGACGACTCCCAACTTTTGAGAAGATTTTCAAGGGGTAAAAAGTTGTCTTATACGCCGGCAAATACGGTACCTAACTGACCTGATACCCAAATACCACCCTACCCGTGCCTTTCGCTCCTCACAGGACCTCCTACTCTCTAGCTCCCTGGTTTCCTCCTCCACGCCCGACTCCAGGACTTCTCCAGGACTTCCCTCATTCTCTGGAACTCCCTACCCCAATCCATCAGACTGTCACCTACCTCCTCATCTTCAGGCGCACCCTGAAAACCCATCTCTTCAGGGAAGCCTACCCCACCCTCACCTAACAACCGATCTCCTCCACTCCTCCCACCACTCCATCCCCCACAGCCACTTCCTCCAGTACCACTATCCTCTCCCACCTAGATTGTAAGCTCGAAAGAGCAGGGCCCTCGAACCCCTCGTGTATTGTATTGTTACTGTATTGTCTCATGTTCTGTCCCCCTCGCTATTGTACTGCGCTGAGCAAACCCTTTGGCGCTATATAAATACTGTATAATAATAATAATAAATAAATGTGAGTCCAAAATACACAAACGCAGTTGAAAAAACACATGAACTGCAACCAGCATAGATGTGAACCTAGCCTAACTGTACCCTATATTTTTTAATGCTGACTGATTGCATCTATTAATTAACAACCAATAGCCCCAATGAACTGATTAGTGGAAGCTGTACTGAACCTTTATTCTCAGTGCGGAGTGGTGTTCCTTGATGCCTAGCACCACATAAACTGGGTAGTGTATGTATTGAAATCTATACCCATGTTCATGGGAGCTTTTCTTGAATATCTGAGTTTAGTTAACTAGTTAGCTAATTTTTAGCAAATTTAGATTTTTACAGTATTGGTGGCCTATGCAAAATACATACATTTAAAAGCTTGACTTTTTAAGGCATGCTGTAATCAAACCTAAAAATTTAGTACGGAAAAAATGCAAAGTTATTTGGTGCACACAAAATAGATTTATGTTATTAGTGGCTGTTATGAAACATTTAAAGGATATGTTCACCTTTTTACCAAAAATAATAAATGCACATTTTTTTGCAGGTAAAAAAAAATGTGAATTTATTATTTTTGGTTGCAGGAGCCTGGAAACCATTGCACCAGTGATCAGCAGATCGCTGGTGCCATGCAGGTCTTCTGCAGATCTGTCAGAATATCTGCTTGTCATACAGGATGTATGAGCAGCAGATATACTGACAGAAGAATCAATGAAGTACCGTGGCACTCCACAGTGCCACGGTAGTTCATTGAGAAATCGTTAGCCACGTTTTTAAAAAATTTGACAACTAGCGGGGGAGGGGGAGATCCCCCAGTAGCAGTCACTTAGGGCCGATGCATTCATAACTTAATAAGAGTGTAACATATAACATGTTATGAAAGGTGAACTTACCCTTTAAATGAAATCTTTTGTGCCTATAGTTCAGATTTAAGACCATTTTCTCTACCATATTATTGGATGAATAAAGTTAAAAAAAAAGCTTCATTGAGCCTTAAAAAAGAAAAAAAACTAGGAAAAAGCACCCATAGGTTTTTTTTTTCATTCTTCAAAAGGGTCATAGGGTAGGTAACCTTGACATGGGCTTTTCTTTTAATTGTGGGATATAGGTTAGATAGTTTGCATGCTCTTTACTCAAAGCCTGGGGTGCATTTCATGTGCATTCCTGTTGCATTCAGTTTTGTAACACAAGGATAAGGCATCCTTGTTCCCAATCCCAGGGATCAATGACCTGAAATTGCATCCCTGCCCTGATGCTTTCTTAAAAGCCTGATTGGTCCTAGAAACAGGGAATATATAGATTTTTTAACTGTTAGCCAGCGAATGCTCATTTGTAATATAAGAAAAAACACCAAACATGCAGAAAAGCTGAAAATGTATAAAGTTCAAATGATTCAAATGTTAATGAACAATAACAATAGCATGAATGAAGATCAAAAAATAGTTACATCTGCTTTTAATCTTATGTATAATTTAATAGCGGAAGGCAATGTTTGCACAATGTAATTGGTATAGCTCTGCTGTGTGCGCAGAGGGATGTCAAACAGAAGCAGATCTATAGTTGCTGACATTAAATGACTTAAGCTGGTCAACTGTTCAGGATAGGAACTGCTTGCTAGCCATGACACATATCTGTAAAACAGTTTGAAACAAATTTCAAAGCCTGGATATTAAACACAACACCACAGACATTTTAATCAAATACCTTTCCATGAACACACATTCTTTTCAAGCTTGTCAGGAGCATCAGTACATTGTGCTGGGCATATGGAGCACAGAATACTGTATTGCAGAAAAAGCAAGTCTCCTAGAGCTTCTGGAACTCCTGCAACAAGCCTTCAAGAGACAAGTGGGTCCATATCGCAAATTACATTTATTAAAGGTATTCCTATCTCGCTTCCCTTTCAGTACACATACTGTACTGTATGTGAATAACCAACCATTTATTTGCCATTGTCATTAAAAGTGGAAAACAAAAAAGTCTTAGCCACAACAACCAAAATAAAGATAAAAAGACTGATTTAAAGTGGTTCTAAAGGCAGAAGGTTTTTTTACCTTAATGCATCCTATGTTAAAAACCTTCTAAGTGCTGCTCCCCCCTGACCCCCCCCCCCCATTCTCATTTGAGCCCCATCTCGATCCAATGATGTGCATGAGAGCAGCTGCTCTCCTAAGACTCTGCCTCCTCATTGGCTCACACAGCAGCAGGAGTCATAGCCAGTGAGCCAGTGAGGAGAGAGCAAGGGAAAGGCAGAGCCTAGCTCTGTGTGTGAATGGGAAATGTCCAGGAGCGAGCCTGCTCAAGTTCCCCATGGCAAGAGGCTTGCTACTGGACACTCAGCAGGGGGGGAGGAACCAGGACCACCAGCCACGGACCCAAAAAAAAAAGGATTGAAGCTGCTCTGTGCAAAACCATTGCACAAGGCAGATAAGTATAACATGTTTGTTTTTGTTTTTTTTTTTTTTTTAAATTCAACCTTTAGAATCACTTTAATATAATAGCTAAACAGACACAGTACACATTACATAGAGAAGTAATAGCTAAATAGATATACTTTATAAGTTACTGTACATACATAAGTACATGCTAAACCAATTATTAATTATTATTTATTATTAATTTTATATATATATACATATATATATTTTTTTTATGAAAAGAACAGGGATGCCTGAAAATGTTACTGAATTCTGTATTTCTGAATGAAAATAAGCTCTGGTTACATGTATAAATTTATACTTTGCTGATCATCCTCTCACTACACATACGCATTTCTCACTACACACACACCACCTTTCTCAACCATGCTTTACCCTGAAGAAACCTTGAAATAGCTTTTAGGTATCAGGGAACCCCCCTAAAAATTATTATAATCTTACATAATGGGTAATCAGCCAAAAGATCTAACAGAGAGTAACTGAAACTGGCAGTTTACAAGATAGGTACAAAGTTAGAAGGAATAATGTAATATAGGGATGAAAAAGTTGGGGTTCTGAATCCAAAACCATCAAAGTCAATGGGAGCTGAAATTAAATTCGGTAACACAATTTGCAACATGCACCAAAGCAAATATTTGTTTTTATTCTGTTTGGCAAAATACTTAAACGTACATGGCAGCTTTGGACAATTATTCCTGTTTGCAAACAAGCAGCAGGGGACTCACTTCATCTATTCCAGACCCTTAGCCTAGTACCCAATCACGTGCAAGGACAATTAAAAAAACAACATTTTTGCTTGCACATGATTGGATGATGGAAGTCATCTGCTCATTTACTAAGCTATAGAGCAACTGCACTTGCAGGGTGCAACTGCACTTTACAAAAGTGTACAGTCTATTTGCCTTTACTAAATCAACGCCAGAGTGTCAAACTGAGTTTATCGTTATATATATCTTTATTCACAGTGAGGTCCAGGGCAGCTCTGGTACCTTAGGTGAACAGCTGGAGGGATCCAAGAACAAAAAGCCACCCTACTGGAATGGAGTACTGTGGTAGCAAATGAGGAGGTGCTTTCCACAGGAGCTGGGTATTTTGGGAAATGTGTATGCTATTAGGCTACTGCTCAACTGCCTGCACATTGGCTGAGAGGAACTTTTTGCTCATTCAGAAAGTTCCTTACAGCATATATAGTTGCACTACTATATATGACAGTTTTTCTTCCTGTCCATGTTTGTTAGCTGGCACCTGCTATGTCCATAGAAATTAGTGACTTCAACTGGCCCCATTCATTTACTGTCCAAGAGTCCCCGCCATATAAATAAATCAGCTAAGCTAGTTAAAAAAAAAAAACAAATATGTGGGGGTTCCTCACATAATTTGTACCAGGGTCATTCAGGTCTGGATTTTAAGGGGAAACCCAACAGAAAAAATGGTGCAGAGTCTCTCCAAATTCCATACCAGATCCATCGGGTCTGGTATGGATTTTAAAGGGAAACCCCCACACAATAATTAAGAAAATAAATGTAGAGATCCCCACAATAATACACACCAGACTGCATTAAAACATTCAGCCTGGAAAGCTAGGAA